GTCTCAGAAATCAGAAATTTGCTAAACACGGAACGGGCTTAATAGACAGGCACACTGCCCATGCCCCTCATTAGAGTCTCAGTGGCCAGCAAGGCCCACCTGGTTCCTAGAGTGGGCATGGAATTCTGGGGCAGGCACAATGTTTGTCAGTTTTGTGACGTGGTTTGAATGAAGAGGAATTGCCATGAAAATGACCTTGAAAACCTGTCCCTTCATACAGAGCTCTGAACATGGGCAAAGACCAGGGGCAAATAACATTAAATTCCCTCCTCCAAATCTCACAATCTGTTTCTCTGCATCGTTGCCCCACCCCTGCAACAAAAACCCAAATGATCTGAGAGCTAGCACAGCATACTTATCACGAGACCGAATTGTAAAAGCAAAGAATCCGTCCTTCAAAGCTTACCTCAGTCAGGGGCCATCTCAAAACCTCAAGTTATTCCCTGTTACAATCTGGGAGTAATTAAACTGGCCTGCCTTACAAAGATGTTGTAAGAACTGGAAGAAAACATTTGCCCGTCTAGTATGCTCATACCATCTTGCTCAGGAGACAGTTTACAGTCTCTTATAATGAAAGCGATAGAACACACATCAGTTAAAATGTTGACAACACAATAAACAGTAGAACTAGAATAATCAGAAGAACTAGTTGCAGCAGATCAGTCTTTGAAAACAAGAGATCGGCAGGTATGTGATGAAGAAGCAAAGACGACAGTGGGGAGGAGGAAGCACCCCATCAACAGAAAGCTTGGAGAATAAAGGTACACCTGTGCCATCAAAGTTAATAAACTTAGTGCCAGGTGAAGGGCTGGAGGAACACATGTGAAACACTTTGGACACTTTGTGGAATACGCTTAGAGTTCACTTTCCTGCAATCGGGGCATGAGGCAGCTTCCCACAATACCTAAATATAATACACAATAAACACCATATGGAAAGACTGGCATTGCAAATAAAATGTAACACTTCACTAAAATCAGTCGCCCTTTGAAGTGCTGCATAAAGGCTAAGCATTCTTACTTATTTACTTCATTCATACCCCACCTTTCTCCGCAATGAGAACCCAAGGTGGCTTAGGTAATTCTCCATTTTATCCTCACAAGAACCCTGTGAGGGTAGGTTAGGCTGAAAGCATGTGACTAGCCCAAAGTCACCCAGCAAGCTTCCATGGCAGAGTGGGGATTTGAACCTGGGTCTCCCAGATCCTAGCCCAGCGCCCTAAACCATTACACCACACTGGCTGTTATGTATTCTCTGGACTGTGGTTTTTCTGGCCAGTGAGCTGCCCACCAATGTCATGTTGTGTATACTCATTAACTACAGCTGTGGCCTGTCTGGTCACTCTTGTTTCTTCCAGATATAAAGCTCAGGGGATAAGTGCCAAGAAGCCCATCAACTCTACATTCTACCTTCTGTTAGACCTGATCACTTTTTTCGATGAATATCATGCTGGTCACATTGACAAGGCCTTTGATGTAAGCTTCAGATTTTTCCTTTACAAATTGCCTTGCTTCACCGGGCTTTAGCACTCCTGCAAGCCTAATTCTCTTGGTACACTCATAACTGAGACATGAAAAAGGTAATCCCATGTTGAGTGATGGTCCCTGTTGTGATGCTAGGTATTGGGTTGCCTTTGTCCAGTCATATCATGGCCTGAGTCTCTTACTGGGGTTACACAAGTTTGGTTCAGGGGTTGTCATTTTGTATAGGAGGCAGAGAGAGAGAGAGAGAGAGAGAATGGTGGTGAACTTATAAAGTGGCATATAAACAAAATTCAAGTTAAGCAGCACCTTAGAGACCAACACAGTTTTTTAGGGCATGAGCTTTCATGAATCCAAAGCTCATTTCATCAGATACAAATAAGAATGAAGATCCATCATCCCTTATACCCAGGACAGATGGTGAGAGGGGTGTTACCAAGAAGGGCCAGTTGGAGTCAGGATGCAGATGTACAGTGCAAAATGAAATCAGCTTGATCAGAGCGAGGGACAGTATAACAGATGTTAGAGATGGTATGGTACAAAACCCTGTCTTCTCTCTATATCTCACTCTCTCTATATATGTAAAATGTATATGCCCGCAAGTCGCAAAAGACTTATGGTGACCCCAGCAAGGGGCTTCCAAGGCAGGTGAGAAACGGCGGTCCCTCCTTTGCAGAGTCTCCCTAGGTAGAGCCCCCGTCCAAGTATTGCTCCTGCTTAGCTTCCGAGATCTGATTAGATCAGTTGTACCATACCCTTACACATCCCACCCACAAATATGGGGCTTTCTCGAATCAGTGCAGCTCTGTTCTGGCTCGACTTGCTCTTATCTGCTCTTATTCATGCACCTTTCGTTACAGATCATTGAACGGCTAAAGCTGGTCCCCCTGAGTCAAGACTATGTGGAAGAAAGAGTAGCCGCCTTCAGGAACTTCAGTGACGAGGTGAGCAGCTGCGGTGCCGTCCATCATCCTTCCCTCTCATCTAGGGCACAGCCAGGCCAGCCAGGCTGTGCTGATGCTGGAAGACAGTGGTGCTGATGGTCGGGGTTCTCGTTTCCCATGCTCTCGTGCTCAGGGGAGGGGCCGTGTGCATGAGCATGTTGCTGCCTGCATCAGTCCACCTTATTAGCCAACACTACAGACAGGGAAAATGGTTAGGACTAGCATGAATCATGTACCCTTCACGGGCAGGAGTGTATCCTATCAGTTTCTCTGTTTGGTCTTGCCCGATTATCATCCTCGCTGTCGCCCTGATCCCATGTGGCTTTTGTTCATGTAGGTCCCATGTTCGCTAGCATAGCTTGTTTCAGTGGTCCAAAGAGGCCTCTCTTCCCCACTATTGCCAGTGGAAAAGACACCAGGATCCAGCCCATAGTTGAAGAAGAAAGACCTATTGTTCCTTAGTCAGTGGCCAAGGTCCCCTTTGAGCTTAGTCCTGTCTGACCGGCGGCATGGAAAGTGCTGCTGGACCAAAACCATAGCAGTAGATCGCAGCTTCCTTTGAGCAGTAGCTAGATGTATTTGCTTTATTTATTTATACCCTGCCTATCTCAGTGAGACTTGAGGCAGGTCAACAAATAAAAACAATGTACTCATACAGCAGAGAAATCCAACAAATGGTGCATTAGTACAGAATGAAAAGACAACGTGAACAGCAAACTGTGTAAGACAAGGTAATATTGTAGACAAATCTATCTTCTATCTATCTTCTATCTATCTTCTATCTATCTTCTATCTATCTTCTATCTATCTTCTATCTATCTTCTATCTATCTTCTATCTATCTTCTATCTATCTTCTATCTTCTATCTATCTTCTATCTATCTTCTATCTATCTTCTATCTATCTTCTATCTATCTTCTATCTGCTACCTATCTGCTACCTATCTGCTACCTGCTATCTATCTGCTGTCTATCTATCTGCTATCTAATTTGTAGGTGCAATACTTAAATACAAGGGAAATAATAAGTGAGGTCTTTTTATTTTAATTTCTTTTCTAATTTCTGCTTAAGGCAATAGCTGTATGAGCAGTACTGGATAGACAGACAGACAAAGTAGTAAGTAAGGTTACAAAGAAGGTGCAGTGAAGATGATGCAGTAATAGCTGGATAGCACTTAGAATAATCATTGCCATTGACTACAACCCTATTCTGTCATAAAGGTACCCTCTTGGCTACTCTGCTACACTTCTAAACTTTTTAAATTGTCCCGTTGAACGTTACTGTTCTGCACAGAAGTACCAGAGCCTTCCTGACCTTCCTCAGGGACACCATTAAGCTCTATTAGAGAAACTGGGCTGGATCCAGACAAAATTTTCCATCAGCAGACTGGAACTTTCCTGCCTCACTTCTCCTACTGCAGCTCACCAATCTCCATGAAACGCTGCTTGTGGGGGGTAGGGGACCCTGAGGAACAGTTGTGGGGGGCGTGATCTGTAGCAGGAAGGGAGAATCAGTGGAAATTGCCAATTTAATTTAAATCCAGCTCACTGTGTTACTTTTTGGGCATACCCTGGGGGAAAGTGGCTACATTTCTGTCTCTCTAAAAAGCTATTGCTCCAGAGTGGCTTCCTCTCTAAAAACACTTATTCTTCAGGGGGCCCCAAGGCTTTTGACGTGCACACAGGGCCCCATGGACTCACAGGGCGCCCTGTTATTTGCAGCACCATGAGCATCATGCTCATTCCCATTGTGCATATGAAGCACTGCCCAGCACTCCAGAGAATGGGACTCCCTGTGCCTAGAGGGGCTTCTGCTCACACAGCAGGCCAAAAGCGCGTACAAGATTGAACACTTTGATTTGTTACAAAGGGCCGGGTTTGGCCAACATTGTGAAGCTGTGGTACTGAGATGGGGGAAAAGATTTGTTCAGTTTTGTTGTTCATGTGTCTTTTTTGAAAAGCCAGCCTCTCAGAGAATTATAAAAATTCATTAAAATAGTAATTATTGTTTCCCTGAGACCCTACTGACCCTTGCAGCCAATAGGGACCAATGTTAATCATCCTGTTGCATTCCTGTTAAAAAGCAATCTGCTTGGGGGGGAGGGGGTATATCTGCCAGATCTCCTCTTCTTATTTAAAAAAGCAGGATAAAAAATGACTTGTAATCTTTCCAACATATCTTAAAGCAGGTTTGTCAATAAGGTAATTGTTTTCCTGCCGCAAAGTAAACTTGGAGATAAAAGGCCTGAAAATGGACAAATTTGCTCTATGTCTGGGAGCATATTGATTTCCTGAGTCATCCATTTTGTAGGCTTTCAGCCAGCATCTGCTTATCAGTTTCCAGCCTGATCGGCTGCAAAAATGGCCCTTGCAGTTTGACTTTGTGGGGCCAGCTCCTTCTCAGCATGTTAGTCCTGGTTCTGAAACTTTCAGCTGAGCCTAAATACATTTATCACCTCTTGTGCCAATGGGAAAGAATGAAGTAATGTCCTTGGTCTGCAGGCTTTAAAAAAATATCTGGACTTCAGATTAAAAATTGAAATGGGGGCAGTTCAGTTTTACTGGGACTTTGTTCCAAGTTGTAGTTTTCTTGTAGTTTCAGTGTCACACCTTAACCCTGGAGAAAGAGGTAATGTTTATCTTGTGTGGAAGAAGGTCAGCTTCGAAGGCATGGCAGACCCTTTTCCCAGATGCCGCTTTCCTGTTCTAGAGGGAATAGCTAGTTGAAGGTGGAGT